TGTAGGTCTCCCCATACTTTCTGAGGGTTCCCTTGTAGGTCTCTCCATACTTTCTGAGGGTTCCCTTGTAGGTCTCCCCATACTTTCTGAGGGCTCCCTTGTAGGTCTCTCCATACTTTCTGAGGGTTTATTGCAACGTATATTAAACTCTGTATCCGTATCTGCATCTCGATTCTCCTTTTTGATATCCTGCCCATGCCTATTCATCTGGGTGGTTATCTCAACATCCACCCCTTTGTCCGTTCCTGCAGGTGCAAACCGCACTCGCAAAGCCGTACGATGCCTTTGATCTGGTGAATCATGCACAGGCGGTGTTTGCCACCCTCTCCACATTGGGTGGCTGGGAAGGTGTGTTTCCAGCTGTGTGAGTCAGCTTGTATGAGTGTGTGCACACGACGGGTAGTGTTTGTATGAGTGTGTGTACATGAGCAGGGGTATGGGAGTGTTTGCCGCAATGTATATGGATGTGTGTAGATGTGTGCGTGGCCTATTCTTGGTCTGTGTCTGCTGTGTCATGTATCTGCGACTGGGTATCAGTATATATATATATATATTATTTATGTTATTTATGTTATTTATATTATCTATATTATATATATATATGTATATATATATATATGTATATATATATGTATATATATATATATATGTATATATATATATATATGTTTCTTACTATCGACACACTACCGTACCTACTCTCCCTTCTATAAAAGTGGTGCAGAAAATGCGAGCCGTTGACGTACTGATAGTGGATGAGGCATCACAGACTACTGAAGCCGAGACATGCATTGCATTTCAGTTCCAGCCCAAGAGGTTGTGTTTCATAGGCGACACCAAGCAGCTACCCCCCACGGTCTTCACCCAGGCCACTGTGTATGTCATGAGATTTTTATATAATTGATATATACATGTATATATGTGTATTATATATAAATATACATATATATATATATACATATTAGTGTTTGAAGGTTTCAGGGTTCACCAGGTCGTATAATATCGGGTGGAGTCCATAGTGACCGCTGTACACCTGACGATACGTTCCAGTGCGTGCATCCACCCGATGACCAGAGTCCTGCTTGAAATCGTGATGGGTTGTATGTCTCAGGGGTCTTTTGGGACGCACATGTGAAATTTCATATGTACAGACCGTGGCTTAAGATTGCCTGCGTATCATATGTGACACTATTGTGTAGAAAATGTGCCAATGCATTTTAATCCGACCTCGTCGGATATCAAATACGATCTGCGAGTGCTGTTTTGTTTAAGTGTAGCTTTGCAAGTAAGTACACTTATGGACAACCTCCTTGCATACGAAGCAATTACTCAAATACGCAGCTTCATTTCATCTGAAGCCATTACGCATATATAGACAGTTTCCAGGCATATGAATACTCCGGTATATGTGTACATTTACAGCTACACACTTATAAAGTGTACACGCTTTTCCACTTCTAAATACTCTCAACTTGATCTCTGCAGCTCCAAAATCTCAAATACGAGTGACACGGGAACAACGGTGGTTGGTCGTGATCCAAAGCTCGATATTGGGTCCAATGGCCCAAAAATCGAGTTAGGGTTTGGCAGAAGTGCTATGTCTAGACTGGTAGATGGGTGCAGATACCCATGCGCCAGACTCACTACGCAATACCGTATGCACCCACAAATAGCCCGATTTCCATCAGAAAGGTTCTACGAGGGTTCCTTAATTAATGCTAGAACCAAGGTGTGTTAGATTTTCAAATACTACTATATTTGAATGAGACATACAGTGAAAAATATATACCTGCACACACA